GCCTCTGGTGCACAACTGGGGTTATACACCTGCTAAATGGATTTGGCTTACAGGCCTAAGCCATTTGTGATGGCTTCCCTTTAATTTAACACCAACAGAAAGCATTGCAATGGAAGGAAGCCTTTTCTCACTTGCCACGGGACCCAGAACTAAAAGGTGATCAACTGATCAACCTTGGGGCCAGGCCGGCTTCGGGCAAGTGATGTGCGACTGTTGAGCAGTTGATCTTATTGAAGGGAAACTTTGTCACGACAAGGAAACGAACTGGAGGTCCGGGTGTCCCTCGGTTTTGGCGGTGAGGCTTGTACGGGTGCATGCTGTAGGTTCTTCGCGCATTCCCCAAGGCTCCCGATGATTGTTGGGCCCTCAAAATGGGTTGTTTTCAGGGCCCCCGAGGGGTCAGGGTTCTTCCTTGCAGGGCCCGGAAACGTGCATTGGAGGGGTCATGAGCCTTAGGGTTGTTGTTTTTCTTCTGGGGGTGGGGCAACCACTCGCTGGAAAATGTTCAACCGTAGCCTTGTTTGAGCGAAGTGGCGCGTGAAGAACCCGTGTTTTGGGGGGGGCTCTGAAAGGCAAACAAAAAGAACTTTCTTGGGAAATCCCCTCTGGCTCTCTCTTTTTTGATGGTGGCCTCTTAAGTTGGTCCGGTTGAAAGGAAAACAAAAGGCTAACCACCAATTGTAAGGGTCCCTTATTTTAACACACAATATGTTGAGATTGCTGGCCACTTGCAAACCCAGTGACCTCTTGTTCTGGGACTATAACCAAAGGTGAGCAAATGGCTTTAAACTTGTTTCAGCCACAGTCGCTTTTTCGGGCGTCCTTTGAAGGTGTCCCTGTTAGCCTGAGACATGCCTGGAAAAGCCTTTCCATCTTATTATCACTTCCGAACGAGTGGATTGGCCAAGCAAAAGTAGTCAACACGTTTGCGTTCACGACAAAAAAATGTCCAAAAAGTGACTGAAGTCCGAAACGGAACTCAGGAAGTGAGTATTCCTCACACAGATTTAAACTTGCTGTGGCCAAACATGCAATGGGCCATCGGGGTGTCCTCCATAGGAAAACTACCATATCCTTGAACTTCTGGTAGCCCCCTAGCAACCGCTTTGGACACAAGGGGCTTGTATAAATAGTTGTTGGAACATGAAACTCTACTTCTCACCCCCTAAGTGGATGACACTAAAGTCCAGGAACGCGGGAATTGAGCTGTTGCCCGACTCTTTGTGGCCCCCTCCCGACTCCCGGGCTCTCCCATCCCTCTCCTCCAGATTGCATCGTCGATGCCTAGGATCTGGGCCTGCGCCATGACCCTGAAAACATGGGGTCATTACCCTAGATAAAGGGGTCATGGACCCATTTTCTAAGGGTCATGGAGACTCCAGGCACACCTCAGCTTGCCTCTAATTGGTGGTTTGGAGTGGTGGTCTGGTTCTTGAGTGCAGTTTCCCATTCACCCTCTACAAGAACCAGGGGTTCGTTTCCCCAAACCACCAATCCAAACCACTAATTAACAGTAGAAAGCTGAACCCCTCTTTGTTCCACCCCTTCACCAACATGGATTTCGAAGATCCCTTTGGCTTTACTTAAAGCCACCAAAAAAGGATACCTTCAAGAAAAGACAGACCCGAATAAAAATCAACCACACCCTACCGCTGTGATATTGCTCTAGCTATCATAAGGCCTGATAACCATCCCTCCACACCACAAGGAACATGGCACAAACAGATCCGAAACCGGCCGAAGCCACCTATCATCTATCCAGCGCTGGGGAGAGATCAAGAAGGCTGACCCTTCAAATCCTGGTGGGAGCATTGGTAAATCGCTCAAATCAGCTACCCCTAAATTTGGTGGTTTGGAGGTTAGGGGTGCTTTCCCATGTACTGTCTACCTGGGTCCAAACACCCAACTCACCAATCCAAACCGTCTTGGATTCGGAAAACACCCAAACTATGTTGACCCTGGAGTGAATAAAACGCATAGCGAAAATGGGTTGCAGCATTGCAAGCCGGCTGAGTTTTTTTTTGTTTTTTTTGCGTAGCCCTGGGCATGAGCCCAGCCTGGCGTGCACGAAAGGAGACACTAAAGGACCAGGGTGGGTTTAGGGTAGGTTTGGGGTCCGTTTAGGGTAGGTGGGTTGCAGGTTGTCTCAGGGTTGGCTCCGGAAATCCAGGAATATTGAGAGCTCATTTGGGGGGTGGCTGTGCTTGATGGTTTAGTGCTGGCTTGTGGCGGGGCTTCTTGTGGTTGCTCTCGGGTGGGTTTAGGGCTGGTTTCAGACGACCTAAGCGCGCTTACACACAACCACGGCCGAAGCCAATTTAAAATCCACTCTACAAGTTCAGGGAAGGAACCTAAAAAAGGGCTCCAATTCTTTAGCAGGAGATTCCTTTACACAGTGTTTATGTTGATCTCCCAAGCGCTGAGTTTGGACCTAAATGGGAAAGCACCCCTGACCTCCAAACCACCAAATGTTCGGTGTGGCCGATTTGAGCGAGGTTCCATGTTAATGTGTAGGGGAGTACCAGCTGATTTGTCGCAACCAAGCCGGGCGCAGCGTCAGCACTTTGTTGATGTTGACCCCTCTGCAAAAAGTTTAACCATTTTAGTAAAACAAAACCCTTCATTTGGCTGTGGCTCAAAATTAAACAGGAGGGGTTACGCGGGTGTTGGTCCATGTTTCCACTTACCAAGGTTCCATTTTGGTACCGGTTTTTTGAGCCACAGCCATTTCCGAAAAAGTTAAAGTCTAATCCAACCCAATGGCAGTCAAGTGCCAAAGGACATCGCTGAGCTCGCTGCATCGCGCAAGGCATCCCTGAACTCATCGACGCTGGCGGTGCCCTCAGCTGCGCGTGGTTCTGGTCAGTGGTTGGTTCTTGGCCTGAACTTCCGGAGTGGATGGGCCAGAAAAAGCCCGAGCTTGTTCTCTACCACAAAAATGCTCCAAACATAAAAGTGGCTAAAAAACATCAACTCAGGAAGTGAGGGTAAGAACCCGCGTGACGGTTCATGGCGATCCCTATCAACTGGTCGCCAGAACTCTGGGCAAGCTTCTCTCGGTATCACTCGGAGCAATTTGTTTGCTTGCCTGTTTGTTTGTATTCTGGCTTGCTTGTTTGGTTAGTGCTCTTGTTTGCCTGGTTTGCCTCGCTTCCTTCTTTTTGTTGGCGCTTGCTTGGTTCCTGGCTTGTGTATGCTTGCTTGTGTGGTGCTTTGTTTGTTTGTGTGCTTGTTTGCTAAACCGCCTGCAGTCTATCTGTCTGTCTGCCAGAGAGCGGCTATGTCTGCCTGCCTGTCTGCCTGTGTGCCTTTTCGTGTCTGTTTGTCTGTCTATCCGTCTGTATGTTTTTTTAGGTATGTGTTTGTTTGCTTGCTTGCTTTGTTGTGTTTGCTTGTTTGCTTGTTTGCTTGTTTACTTACTTGGTCGGTCAGGCGGTTGGTGTGTTGCTTTGTTTGCTTGCTTGCTTGCTTGCTTGCTTGTGTGTTTGCTTGCTTGTTTGCTCGCTCTTGCTAATTGATTGCTTTCTTCGGGTGTGTTGCCGAAGAGACATGTAGCACATCCTCTGAGCTCTGAGACATGTCAGGCTTCAGCACCACACAGGCAAAGCTTACCCAAAAGCAGTAAATACCATTGCACATGAGCAGCATCCATCTGCCTATGCTGTGGCGAGCTCACCTGGAGGTTAGACGGGGGGGGGGGGGGTATGGGGAGGGGGCCTATCCCTTATTGAGCTCGGCTGATCCGGGGATAATCCCCCCCCCTCCCATCCCCCCCTCCCTACAAGGGGCAGGGTACTTAGTAAGTGGTTAGCAAGCCTGGTTACAACCCACTGAACGGAGACTTGTACCCATGGCTGTTGTGGGTTACGACCTGGTTATAGATGGTTATAGCTTTCCCCCACATCCATGATCCAGCGGCTGAGAACTGCTGAGATCCGCGCCCGGTTCTCCACTTTGGCGATCTGACAGCAGCTTGCATGGAGGTGAACAGCGTCAAGCGCTGAAGCCAAGATTTCTGTGTAGTTTCTTTCAACTGGGCCCTCCGTTTTCAGACTTTCTGCGAAAAGTGAGCTGAACTTTTCGTGGCTTAACTTCGGACACCCAACCACTAAACCTCAAATTCCCTCGCGCAGTCGCTAGTCAGGCAGACAACCCAAGACAGAACTGCAACCTGTCAAGGGGTGCCGATTCCCCACATGCGCGAGAAACCTGGGTGCATTGCGAGCCGCACCCTTCTGCCTTTTGCCCCCGCTGCGTTTCACGGGCGCAGGGCGAAAAACAACACGTGCAGGTGAACCAATCATGTCCAGGAAAGGATTTGTGCGTATAGGTCCAACCTGAGCCAAGATAGGAATTCCAAGCAAAGCAAGTGAGGATTTAGTTTGCCCAGTTGGGACTCGTTCTTCGGGCCATAAAAAGTAGCACAGGGCATTTTGACGGGATCCTGAGCAGGGGAAGCGCTCAGCGGATCTAGCAGAGTAACCATCCACGTTCATCTTAGTTTGGATAGTTCACTGGTCATAAAAAGAAAGTTGATCACTAGGACCACCTGTTTATTGTAAGAAAAAACCCAACCCAGATCAGGAACGGTTTCCTAGGTGATTTTCCAACTTCACTGGCAAGGCAAACTCGCTTGAGGCGCCAAAAGGCAATGTCTACAACCAAAAGGCAGACCTCCATTTGCTCATATGTCCCCTTGCAAAACCATGTTTTTGTTCAGTAGTGATAAATTCCCTTTAATCCAGGAAAAACAATGGAGTGTCCATGACCCTTGAAAAATGGGTCCATGACCCCTTTATTCAAGTGACCCCATGATGTACGGGTCATACTGTGGATGGTTGCGAAATCCATTTCGCACCACCTGAGAAGCCATAGAACGATTCGACTCCCCTGTAAATGCCAACAAACACTGGTCTCACCCATGGTTTCAAAGTGGTGCGAAGTGGTCTTCGTCCATCCACAGTAGGACTCCAGAGGTCATAGCTTGGTTGACGTTGGGTTTGGGGAGCAAAGAATTCAAAATTGTAGCAGTTGAGTGGATTTGGATTTCAACCACTAAACTACAATAAGCAAAACTGTAAAATGCTTCCGAGCAAGCAACCATGTGAGATCCCTTATTTTGGGACGCACCCAGGTACCACCCAAAGATTGCATCTCTTTTTGCACCCAAAGATAGGACTCATTTCATCAAACGGAAGGAGACATAGCGGCCGATTGGGTCCAAGGCGCCAGGTGGCGCATCTTCGGCGCCGCTTCCCGCCGCAGCCGGTCATGGACGATCCTGGAAAAATCGATGCAGCCATCGCAATCATGGCCGGGGGTGTCTGAAAATAAGGGACTTGAACAAACAGAAGGGGACGTTGTGGAGGCCTGCGTTTTTGCACATACCATAATTTGTGGGATGTTCGCAGGCCTCTACAGCGTCCCACACTCTAAACAAATACTCAGTTGCTCCTTAGGGACCCACAAAGAAAAGGTGAACCCTTTGCCTTGACGAAAAATGGACCAAACAGAGGAAACCAAAAAGTCAGACCCGATCGATTCGCATTGAGTTTCCTTTTGCTTTTCCTGAACCACTCCGAAAGGGCTCGAAACCCGAGCCAGCCATACTTTTTCCCCTAGGGTTCGATGCCCCAAATCAGCCGCGAAGCCTACGAAGCCAAAAGGATCCGTTCCACTTCTCTTTGAGGCGTACCTGACAACTAACAAACCTGCATCTCAAAAAAAATGTCTGAAGTGTTTGTTTTCCACAATGGTTTTCCCAAAACGTATGAAGTCCAGAGACTTAGGGAGTGAGACTTGGGGATAGCCAAGTGAGGTCTGTTGAAAAAAAGAATCAAACAAACGCAGGTCCCTGACTCTCGTCAGCTCGCCTATTAGCCCATCAGCCACCTGAAAAGCGGTTAGTGGACATAACTTCAAACCAAACTGATGTCCACCATGTTGGTCCCCAACTAAGTCTCGTCATATTTCTCGGCCTGGCATGGAGCGTGTCACTATTCACTGTTGATCCAGCAGTTTGGCTCGTCTATTGAGAAGCCCAGACAGGAGGCCTCAAGTTGTCATCATCACAACCCGGTACTAAAGTATCTACCACCATCCAGAAGCATGTAAAGAGTTAAAATGGCGGCACGCATTTGGCTGTGGGTCAAAACCAATACCACCTTGGGGTAGCTGAATTCACCACCCATTCAATAGTGGGGATTGGGATGGCCACTGGGGGTACGATATGTTGACCCATGGCCATTTATGGTTGACATTCTCCCTTGCACCTTCATCTCCCCAGGCTTTGAGTGTGGTTGCTTCTTGCCAAGTCCCATGTTCCAGCCTTTCTCAGTTGTCCAGAGCGATCCGACCGGATCTGACCTTCTGATTTTCGAGTTTTGGGCCACCTTCAGCCCAGGTCCCACAAGGTATCACTGTCTACTTCCTTTTTCGCTTTTGTGGCGATGCCCACAAAATGGGGTTGCTTCAAAAACCATCGTCAGGGACTCTCCAAACTCGCCCTCAGGATCCCGTGTTTCTGCAATGCTGCGGCTTGTTGCCTTTTCAACCCCGTTAAGTTGCTTGGCGGGCGGCTTCATTCATTTCGGGGAAAGTGGAATAGAAGACGTGTTCGACCTTTGCGAGTGGGCCTACATGTCCTGCAGGGGCCACGGAAGGGTGAGCCACATCCGCAAACCAAACGGCCGGCCCTTGGGGAAGGGAAGTGACTGCAACCAGCTCGAGGGCCCCCTCGAAAGCTGAGGAGAAACCACAGGGAGGTTGCTTAAAACATGAAACCAGGCTTTGGCCCCATGGTTCATGAAGAGAAAACCCAAAGGAGGCTGCTTGAAGAAGTTTGAACAGCCTTTGGCCCCCTCGAGGAAAAACAAACTAAAGGTTGTTTGAAGAATGATGGCTTCTTTGCTGACGAAAACAAGTTTTGGCCGCGTCGCTTCCGGCCAGCGGGTTCCCGTCAACTGCGCATCTTAAGCGAGCCAGCTGCGCAGTAGCAGGAAGTTGAAGTCGTTCAACTCCGGAGATACATTCCTATCAGGCATGAAATCCCATCGGGTGGGGTACAAGGGTGGGTAGTTGAGAGCTGGTTTCGGGTTCCTTGGGATTCCTGAGGGGCAACCCCTTGGATACCGCCTCGGAAAGGAACTCCATAAATATGGAAGGGACGGGGAACAACCTGGGCGTGGAACTGGGGAAAATAACAACATCCCTCCCTTAAGATTTGTTAACCCTTGGGGTTCTGGTGATTTGGGGTTCTGAGAACCTTTCCGATGGGGCGCTAGTGATTGGCCCTACACGCATCTTAAACATCCTAAGGCCATGTCCATTTCAGAAAGCAATGCGGAGCTGCAAGTCTCAGCCAATCCGATTGTCCATTTCTTGGGATAAGACTAAGGGTACCCTCCCAAAAACAAACAGAAGAAACCTGCACAGGAGAATGGCCCCCGCAAAAAGGAGCATGGGGTTTGCAACCAGTTCCTCAGGTTCCTTCCTGAGCCCTTGGGTGCTTCTTGAAACTGGGAGCTTTTTTCTTTGGCAACCAAGTCACACAAAACACAAAGCCAAATTCACAACGGCAAGAACACAACACACGAAGACATGTATATGCGGAACCAATAAGTTAAATTATCCCTTTGCGAGATTTGTGCGACCTACCAACCACTAAGATATTTACAGGGTGTCGCTGAACAACTGGGAAGGAGAACCAAACCATTCTTCTGTGCCCCCTGCTGTTGATGGGCCAAATACTGAACCATCTGAAATGGACGAAACCCCACAACCACTACTCACCACCAACCAACTCGGTCAGAATTTGAGTCAGAAATTTCTCTCGCTCAGAATTTTCTCCATGGACCGCCTCAAAAAAGGTGTTCCTGAAAGTTTCCCTTTTAAACCCGCTCTATGTCAGCTTCCCTCCAATTCTTTCAGTTGGTGAGTGGGAGGAGGCTTGGGAGTGGCTTCCCATTATACAAGAACCAAGGGTTCCCTGAAAATGGGCACCCTCAAAATGGGTACCCAGCACTCATAGGTGTCCTTTTCGGGAAAAGAGATGGGTTTCCCTGGTAGTCGATGGAACCAGGTAAACCAGGTAATGTTGACCCAGGATTAATAAACCCGTCCATTATTGGGGGGGGGTCCCTCCAAAAGTGATGAATAAAAGGGGACACCCCCCCTATTAATCAACCAGGGGTTTATTAATCCGGGGTTAACATTAAAGCCCTCGATTTTTCAACCAAATCAACCAAAAAGGACGCCTATGCCACCTCTCTCAGGTCCCCACTTTGGATCATCCGCCGGGAAGTGCGCGAAACTGAGCGGTCGCGGAAGTCGCGCGTTTCGCGTTTTTAACCTTTAAACTGATCCGCTGAGTTGACTGGCCAAGCAAGTTAACACCTGGAGTGCCGTCACTCAAATAATGATGATGATGCTGATGATGATGATGATGATGATGATGATGATGATGATGATGATGATGATGATGATGATGATGATGATGATGATGATGATGATGATGATGCTGATGATGATGATGATGATGATGATGATGAAACCTACCAAGCAACATTTGTGCACACTCACAGGTAGCTTACCCTCCAACCCACACAGTGCACAGTTGCTCCGGACAGTTTACGTCTTCTTCAATTTGCTTCAGCGTGGAAAAAAAACATTCCTTGCAGCATCTTGCAGCAAATGGACGTCTTTGTGTGGGAGGCTGTCGCTCGAATCGCTCGGATGCAGCTGAGGGGCCGCATTAGCCCAACCTGGGGCCGAGATGCAAGTCACACGAGTCAGGAATCGTGGCCGGGGAGGTCTGAACTTCGCAGCCCAAACGGTATGGCCTTGCAAGACAAACCGACTTTGCTTTCTGCAGGCCCCCAAACCTAAGAGTTGTTTTCTTTTTCGGTTCGGGGTTTCCAAGTAGGCAAATCACGTGAAATCAGGACAAAAGCGCTTGGGTGCAAAAAGAAAAAAACAGTACCCCTTCTGAAACAAAAAAAACACACACTTGCCAAGAACAGTGCAGAGAAGATATGGCAGTTGTTATGTGTCCCAAGCCTCCAGTCATGGGGAAGGGCACCTGTCAGAAAGCCGCAAAAGGCTTTCGGGAGCTATGGGTCGTGCAGACGAATTCCCGACAAAGAAGAAAACAGAAAACCACGCGGGACCGTGGTGCCGTTGAAAACGCTGCATCGACGACCCAATGTCCAAAACTATTGAGAACCCCCAGTGATGCAGTCCGTCGGCCATACATTTGTTTCATGAATGAAAAGCCACAAGTGTTCCCATGTTTAGCACCCAGCTTAGGGAATGTTCAGCACTCAGGCATTTCTGATGTGGGTGTCTTTTTGGGGGATACGGGACCCCAACGTGGTGGCTTTCCTCGTGGTGTCCCTTTAGTCCTTTTTTTTTCGACAACAAAAATGGGGTATCCCCAAGAGAGACAGCCATGTTGACGATGCAACCTCCTTCCATCCCGATAGTCTGTTCCATGCACCTTCACAGCTTTCAATTCAAAGAGGAGACCTGACTCGTCTTCCACTTGCTTAAAAGCAACCCCTGCCAGCGGCCAGTCACGTTGACCAAATAGTCGGGGAAACTGTGTTTCACCTCGAGCCTGAAGCGAAGTCTCGAGCACAAGGCCAAGACCGTTTGTTGCAGCCAGGAACGGCAGCAAGCGTAGCTCTCTACATGGTAACCTCCCCCAAAACCTTTTTGTACAAACCCTGGATGCCGGGGGAAAAAAGGCTGTGCACCAAGTTTTATTGGCTTCATTTGGCAAATCAACCACACATGTCTAGCCATGCGTTCCCCTAAAAACCAACAGGGGACAAAAGAATAAACATTTCAGCAAACAGAAGCCTAGGAGTTAATTGTGAAAGGAATCCTGAGTCATAATCAAAACCCGGTAATACAATGGTCTACCCAGAACCATGTACAGAATTAAGAATGCGGATATCCGCACCCATTTATGGCAACTACCTGGTTTTGATTGCGACTCACTGGTTGCAGGGAGTTTTTCTAGGTAAACAAAAACGAGGAGAAGCGTTTGACACCTCAGGAGGTGGTAGAGATGGCAACTAGGTCTCACTCATTACTAGGACACCATCTGGATTCGAGCCCTCTGACTCGACGAGCGATTTTTGGGGGCCCCACGAAGAGCTCGCGCCGGGAGATGACGCTGCCACCCCCCGGCAGCGCCTGGCTCCGACACACAGCCGGGTTGGCAAAATTGGTCAGCATCAACAAAGACGAAAACAACACATTCAGCAAGCAAGCGAGAGAGCGAGCAAGCAACAAGCAAGCCAGCAAGCAAACAAGGAAACAAGGAAACAAGCAAGCCGGAAAAAAGCAAGCAAGTAAATCAAAAAGACCATGTAATCCAGCTGCTTTGTTTGCTGGAATCCCGTCCACAATATCTTTTGGACCACACGAACCCTCCAAAACCAAGAAAGCGACCAAGCACTGAAGAAACCAACCAACCAAGCAATAAAGCAACCAAACAAGAAATCGGACTATGTCAATCGTGGTGCCATGTTCCCATCTTGTTCGCGCGGGCACATCCCGGTTAGAAACTGGTTCATTCCACCTGTATATTTGTATGCAGGCATGTAAAAGACGAACCGGCGCGTGAGTCTTCCCCTGCAACCAAACCAGTGTCCCAGGCGACTCGGTTGTCCAACTGTTGAGACAGGGGGTCTCTTTGAAGACAAATAGGGATGGCTAGTTTAAAGGGACATCAAAAGAAAACACCATTTGGGGGGTCCCCTAAAACAAGGCACCCCTCACATATATGGTCACAAACCGTCGCTATCTGCCCCGGGGCAGCCTGCCTTCGCAGCCGAATCCCAAGCATTTTGCACCGTCTGGCGGTCCGGGACGCGGGGCGTTTCGTTCGACTGAAAGCGAGGCCCATCTTAGCCTCAAGTTACGCCCCCTAACATGGAAGCTCCCGAACGGACTTGGGACGACTTGGCTCCATGTACCAGGAATCGGCCTGGCAGAACCCCGAGCGCCAACAATCTCGACCCTTCAAAGCGCAGATGGCTCCAAAGCGCTCGGTTTCAGGTGGCTTGGTTCGGGATCCCCTCTGGTGAACCAGATCAGATCCCACCACCAATCCTTGGTTGACCTTGGGTTAGGCCGAGCAAAAATAAAATAAATTTGAGCAGTTCAGTGGACTTGGATTTCAACCACTAAACCACAATAAGCAAAAATGTGAACTGTTTACCAACAACAACCATGAATCCAACCACTTGTATTAAGGGCACCTGAAGAATAGAGGGACCCAAAATGGCGGCTTCCTTTTGGTTTCCCTTTATCCCAAGCTGAAAAGGGTATCAAGAAGCAATCGCACACCCACGCGAATCCTCAGAAAGACCCTACGGACACCCCAGGTCGAAACTATGGCCCGTCTTGCCCTGTCAAGATACCGCACACTGTGTCCAAACAGCTTTTCGGAGTTTTCAAAACGGCATAGGCTAAGCGCCACCAATATGGTTTTTTGTGTTTGATTCTTAAGTCAAACACAAATACATATATATATATATATGTATATGGTTACCAACATGCGTATGAATCTATGGAGACGTACGTCTCAAAAAGCGTGACGGGTTCCAAGAAGCAATCCTTGTTGACGACCCTTTCTTGCGATCCCCATTGCAAGTTTGAGGTGTGACTTCAGGCCACAGCGAGTCTTGAACTCCCCATCTCCCCATCTCTCCTGGCCCAGTGCAGTCGCCTGCATGAACCAATGTGACATGAACCTATGTCGAGTGAATTGATTCCCTTATCAGTGGTGAAGCGCGCATCACCTAGGGGTTCATACAAGTTTTAAGGGTTTGCACATTCAGTCCATAGCTTTGACATGTGGGTTGTCTCCAAAATTTTGGTCAAGCTTGGTTGTTTGAGTGGCAACCATCTGTTCTTCTCTGACCAACAAACTCATTACAATCTATACAGCTTCGATTCGAACTCCAATGCTTTCCAAAACAAACCTAGGTGCTAACTCTGAATAGGGGGTCTGCACAGAAAACACATTACGCATTCCCTTCGGGGTTCCTGTTGGGATATACGCCAATGTGGGCAATTTAGCACTCAGTAACCAAGAGCGAAAGACGGCTGAAAGTTGGTCATGTCAAGCAAGTGGAACCAACCTGAAACTCACTTCCTGAGTTTGTTAGCCCAAACAAAAGGTCCCAACTGTTTACTTAACATGGTCTAAATTCAAGTAAGGAAAGTCCAGGAACTTGGTGCAATGAGGAAAAGGGTATCAAAAAGCCACACACCCAGATCACAAAGCGTGCGGGGGCGGACAATTTGAGCGTCGTCTTCGTACTTGCCCTGAGCCGATGGCGTGCTAGGTGAGAAAAATTTCAGTGGGATTCCCGAGAAACAGGGCTCCCTACATCCCGAAATATCGCCCCAAGAGACAGTGCCCGTGATGTGTGACTCCGTTGTCTTTCCGAGACCAAAACGAACAAACAACAAATTTGACCTTTTGGGTCCATGAAAAAGGCCTGTAAGGGACCCAAACAAAAAAGGTGATGACCTTTTGGGGCCAAGCTGGGCGAAGCTTTAGGTCAAAAGGCCGATTCGCTTTGGGCAAGGGAGTTCGGGCTGAAAAGGGAACTCTCGGGACTCGGGACTCCGGGTTGCTTCACCCCTGGCACAAGGGCACAAGGGTAGCAGTTTGTTCACTGAAGGGAAACCAAAGGAAAGCCACCAAATCATCTATGCACCTTTAGGTCTTAGCAATCTTGTAGTCTTATGGAGCAACAGGTCTAGGATTTTACCAGGGTTGTCAAGGCTGTCGGGTCTCTGCTTCCCTGAGTCCCGCTGGACGATTCACGGAGGCTTCCCAGTTGAATTGTCCAAAGTCCACCGTACTTGCGGATCTTGCGGACTCGTAAGGTGGATCCCAAAACAGCCCATCTGCAATTTGCCACTGGCAGTGTTTTTTTGAAGCTCACTTGCCCAAAGCACATTGAATTCACGTCTGGGCTGTCCTCAGATCCCCCGCGAAAAGTTTAACTTTTGGTGGGCTAGATGGAAAACCCCACTAAACACTAAACACTAAAAAGCTATGGGGATGGCTGGGAGCCACCAAGTCACGTGTTGACTTTTGTGGCCATGACTGGACTTTGTATGGTTCCAACCAACCGGTCGATCCGCTTTGAACGGGCAACATTACCTTTGGAGCTGCCCGCGTAGCTCCAGATTTGATCGAAACACCAGTGGGAAGCATAGGCTAAGCATAGGTGTCCCTTTGGAAAAATAGATGGCCCTGGTAAATGGAATTCAACCGATCTAAGCCAGTGCCTTCTATTTTCAACCACGCTAACCTAAAAAGGACACCTATGGTGGAAAAGACAAGGCAATTCGCCCTTCGTATCGCCAATCGCCAAACCTTTGTTGCTGTTGACCCCTCTGCAAAAAGCTTTAACTGTTTTAAAACCCCTTCATTTCCCAAAAAAATAAAGTCTAAAGATCCAGCCCAATGGCAGTCAAGAAACGGACGCGAATTTGCCAGACATGTCCGGAGTCCCACATGCTGTCTCGGATAGTCTCCAAGGGACCACAAGTGAAGCATAGAGTTGTTATTTGTGTATGGACATTTGAGGGGTCCTCAAAATGAACTTTGGTCATGGTTGTGCTCTAAACCACAACTGTTAGTCAACTCAGGTGAGGGCATCGTGTGACATTTGCTTTGGAGGGCAATCCCGTCCGTCTTCTGTGATACAAGTGTCTCTTGAAAGTGTCAAAGTCACAAAAAGGCCTGCCTGCATGCCTCTGTGGTTTTTCTTTACTCTGCCTTTCAAACAGCATGCTGTTCACTTTTGCAGGTGGTCCAGCTTAGCTTTGGCACCCGGATGTGTCACGTTCCCAGAGAGGATGATAGGTGGTTAAGCCGTTTGAAACGCTTTGCTGGCACTCTGCCTCATCCACGGCGCACTGTCTTGTTCCCGTGTCGGGTTCAAATGGCTGTGGGTCAAAACCCCGTACCCGCAGTGAACATCCCAATCCCCACTAAAATAGGTTCCAAAATGTGTGGTGCACCTACCCCAAAATGGTACCATTGGTTTTGAACCATGGCCAAATCAATCCTATGCTGGGCTTGAGGGGTGGTGCCTCGAATTGGCACAAGCCACCCTGGTAATGCTTTAGTTCGTTCTAGTTGCAACAAAACACGATGATTGCACTCCTGGAAGTCAATAAAACAACGACCAACTGGTACCTGGCTGTTCGGCCAAGTTAGTACGACCCCCTTAATAAACAAAGTTAACCCCACATTCAGGGGGACTTATAGGTGGATTACAGCCCAACGGATACCGTTACAACTTACTAACTTGGCGAATCGAACACCCAAGTAGAATATTCTTTTGGCGGGGCGCACGTAAATCAAATATCCCGTGACTGGTGGTTTTGGATTGGTGGTTTGGGGGTTTGAACCAATTAGAGGGACACCAGCCACTTTTTGCCAGGGTTTTGGAACCCATTTTCTGCAGAGAAGGATCCCTGGTGGTTTCCCTTTACAAGCTGAAAATCCCCAAAGAATGGCTTCCTTTTGGCTTCCCTCTAACCCAAGCTGAAAAGGGAAGCTCCTTCTCCGCGTCCCGGCGGCTCGGAATTTTTGCAGAAACTTTGGGACGCGCCCCCCCCCCCCCCCCGCCTGTGGCAGAGCGACCCGCCCGCTCTTCTGAGGGGACCTGGCGGATGGAGCTGGACGTGAAGAAACCATTTGGCCCCATCTGCAAGTCGATTGGTGCCAACGTCGCAGGACAAACACCACCAACGTCATGTCACCATTTATACCAAAGTCAGCGCCGGGGAAGTGGTAGAGGGACAGTCCCGAAACAGTCAAATTAATCTCAGATGCCCCCTTTTTTGGTTGGTTGAGTGTAAAGGGAACCCTTCCCAAAAAAACTGGAAAAAAAGGGCACCACTACAGAACTGGGGCAGAATTTCTCCTCAACCGTCAGCTTGCGGGGGGGCTTGTTTCAAGTGAGTCAAAAGGCACAGCTGCAACTCCAGCCCATGACGCCAAAGTGGCGAAGGACACCCTGAAAATTTGCAGCAGCTCTGGGAATGGCGAAAACTCCGCTTCGTGCAACCATAAGGCCTTCCAAATGCCTTCTCCAGAACACTGGGTGTAAGTCATGATCAAGCAACTGAAACAGCTACCAACATATCAGGGCTGGAGGGGAGGGAGGAGAGGGGGAGGGTGGGCTCCCTCCCCCTCTCCTCCCTTGCCCCAAACCCCCATGACCAAATGCGTCCCCGAAATCATGGCCAACGGTATGGGCAATAGCTCGGCGATTTGCTCCTCACCCGCGGACTGGTTGGAAAAGTCCAGATATGCTGGTTACCACTGAAAAATGATCTTCCAACAGAGTTTCAAGTCGAGAAAGCCGGGCAGTGAGGCTCTGCACATGATGAGGCAACATTGAAGGAAGCCCAACATGAGATCTGGCCACAATCGGGCTCTTGAACCACAAGACAGGCTGAAACCATCACTCAGTACAATTCCGAATAAAACAATCAATTCCTCTCCTAATGGCCAGTTGCGATTTTGAGCGCCTGGATGAGTTCAGGATCGATCCGTGGTTCGACCATATGTCAAGCGGCCTGACCAGAAACCTGTCAGATCCGAAGGCCCAGAGACATGCGACTGCTCTAAGGCTCCAATTCGATGATTTTGGGGCCAGGGTCCCTGAGGAATTGGTCCAGGTTGATCATTGGAGGGCCCATAAGACGGGCCTGCATTGGAGGCTCCGGTCATGAGCCTTTGAGTGACTGACATGCAACCTCTTCAGGTCCCTTGAAGAGCAACATGGTCTTCCACTCCCCACAGGCAAGGTTGGCACGACTTGAGAAGGTCATCTCTCAGTGTTGCACTAAAGTCGTGCACGTCTTCAGAAGGTCTCCTTCTGAAAGCAACCAAAAGAGGGTATCTCACCCACTTGAAGCAGCCGATCTGAGGGAAGTGTCCTGCACTGCACTTGAGACAGAATGGAAAGTCCAACAAAAACACAGAAATATTGATCGTCGGCAAGACTGCCCACACATCACAAACCAAAGCGACACAATGCAACAACGACTCACTGCCAGAGCGTTTTGAATGCTTGAGGGGCATGGCCAGCATACCTAAGAAGCCTTTTACCAAAACCTAGTCAATCTTTGCGGGAAATGACTAAAAGAGACAAGAAGATGCCTCAGGAGTTACTGTGTTGAAGTTGACCAATTGTTGCCGAATGTCTAAGAATTCCCAAACCTTATTTAAGGAAGCCCTGGCGAAAGAAGAAGGGGGGGGTTGGCAAAAATTGCCCTGTGGGACCCTGGTGTCGCTTGGTGCCTTCTAGAGCTGCTAAAAAGGGTTCTTTGACCACATGGGCTTGTGTCAAAAGCCCTTTGTTCCCTTTGGTTTCCCCTCCACCTGAAAAGCGTAGCCTCCTCCAAATCACGAATACCCACATGGCAACGCCAGGGGGGCACGGCGCGAGTGCATTCCGGATCCCCCCCTTCGCTGTCCCTGAAGTGAGGCAGCGAGACAGCATCGCCAGCTTCTGCATGGAGTGGTCAGCCTGGCTTCGGCCGTTGGTTTGTGTGGTTGACATAATCCAACCATTGTGGGTGCAACGGCTGTAAAACCCGTAGTGCTCAACATAGGGTGTACCCTTGATAAGGCGACACCTTGATGAAAGTCATTGTTGAAACACTTCTAAACAACCAACCAGGGTTAGGGAATTCAAGCCGGTCAAACATGGTTAACCACTCAGTAGCCCAGCGGCCATAGAACAAAGGCTGCTGTTGACCCCTCTGCAAAAAGTTTCACTTGCACGCGTCCAAGGGAAAATCCACTGATTCCCAAAACTTACCCCTTAAAACTCCAAGGATTGGGGAAGTTAATCTTTTACAGACATATAGCCCATGTTACCCAAAAAGTTGAAAAGTTGTGTTTTTAAGAGGTAAGAAAAAAGATCAAGTCCAAAGATCCAACCGACTAGCCATACACAAAAGGCAACCGTTGTTGGTTGGTTCCAAAGGGCAAAAGTGCCGTATAAATGTTGCCAGGCCCAAGAGGCGTTCCGGCCCTTGACATAGCAGAAGGTTCAAGGGTTGACATGGCACGTCACAACTTGGTGTGCATTCCACCCCAAAATAGGGAGCCCTTGGCTGGACATTTGAGTCATGATGAACACCGATCGTGTTTCAAATGGTCGATCGCATAAACCAACAAGGCATTCAATGTATACAACAAATATGAAAACGTTGTTTGGGGCGACAAAAACCAAAGAACAAAAGAAAAGAACAAAGAGTATAATTCAATTGCTGGGCCCAGAAACCCCTTCATCGCTTCTGGAGATTTTATCAAGGCGGCGAAGGCACCCCGTTTCTGGAAACTGGACTCGCCAATGCACCCGGACGCCCATTTGGAAGGCGGCTTGTGTCCAGCCAGGTTTTAAGTGGCTGTGGCTCAAAAAACCGGAATGCCAAAACATGGACCAAAACCGGTTTAACATGGACCAAAACCGGTAAGTGGAGCATGGACCAAAACCTGCGGTTTGCCCCTGCTTTTTAATTTTGAGCCACATCCAAGTGGGTCTCTGCTTGCCAAATTTCCCCATAGTTACCAACTTTTTTCTGTAGTCCATTTTAGTAGGGGAACCTTGCCCAAAAAAACAGGGTAAAGGGGCACCTAGCTGGGGGACCTAGTCCTTGTTGGGCAAGGCAAAAAAGCCAAACTCAGCAGGGCTCCCTTTGGTGCCCCTTCAGACACCCCAACAAGAGACTCATTTTGCTGGCCCTCCAGAAGTGATGCTTATGCCGCTCCATACTGTGGATGGACAAAATCCATTCGCACCACTTGGAAACCATGGGAAATTCCTGAGGTGGTGCGAAATGGATTTCGTCCATCAGTATCAGTCTTCTACATCCTGGACCGGCGAGAGCAAAGAGCTTCAACCCACGGTCAGCTCACCACACTCCCTTTTGAGATGTGGGTCTGTCGGGTACCCTCAAAGGGAATCCAAACAACAGACACACCCATGTGGCCATGGGTCAAAATCCAAATCGTACCCCCAGTGAACATCCCAATTCCCACTAAAATAGACTGAAAATGGGTGGTGAATTCACCTACCCCAAAATGGTACCATTGGTTTTTGACGTGTTTGTTGGAGAAAAACAAACTGGGCCTCGGTGACCTACCAGAGGCCCCCTTGCCAGGGCAAAACCAGTCATGTTCCATAGTGGCTGGAGGTCGCTTTACCTAGGTCCTCCAGTAGAGAGGTTAGAATAAGGATACCGACTTTTTTCTGTTTCGTCTATTCTAGTAGGAGAACCCTCCCCAAAAAAACAGGGTAAAAGGGCACCTAGCTGGGGGACCTAGTTACTTTTGCGGCTGTCCAAACCCCACGGGGGGATCACTGACCATTTTTGAGTTGGCCCGTGCAAGGTTGTAAACAACAGCTTCTTCATCCCTTCATTTGTTGACAATTCTGTTGGTAAGGCTGTAAACAACCGCTTCATTTGTTGACAACTCTGTGGGGAAGCGGAGCAAAAGGTTCCGCTCAACAAACCAAATCATGTTTACCTCTGATTCGTACCCCCCCCCCCCCGTTCCCCCCTCTGGGCGATGGGAGTGAACAAGTAAAAGTAAACTGCTTTGTTGTCGCAGGGCTGAAGGAATCTGTGGTATTGGGGGGGGCCAGTGGGGACTGGCCTTGAAGGGGGTGTAAATGAGCTTGTCAAACCTTCATGCTCAAAAACAACATGTAGTAAGCGATCTTCGCTATTTCCGGCTAGCATCCGGTTCCGGGAGGGGCAACCCTTCAGACTGTAAATGGAACCAGTATTGGCACAAGTATTGGCTATAGCTTTCCTACTTTAACTAGGTCTTCCAGTAGTTTGAGGTTAGAAGAGTTCCCGTTTTTCTGTAGTCTATTTTAGTAGGGGTTGATTCACACCGCGCGGTCCCCGAAAGCAGTATGGCCATCGAGGGAAAAGGACGGAGTTCTTGTCCAAAAAATCATAAGAATATTTCCGGTAGTAAATCGAGTCCTTTCAAAACCTCCGCTGTTCAGTGAGCCTGGAAAAAAAGTGAACCCTTTTTGGGGCTTGGACCATTTTAGTGGGGCAGCCACCCAAAACACTGGAAAAAGGGGGCCACTGAACAACTGAGAAACCAACAGGGACTCCAAGAGCATTCACTCGCGCCATGAACTGCATGCAACGGAAATTAGATGCTGCGAAGGACTGCTTGACACTGCGGCCTCGTATGCAAAGGCTCACTTGCCCAAAGGACCCAGAAATTAAAAAAAAATATAAAAGTAAAAGGCCGGCGTTGGGCAACTGAGAGCTGTAGGTGCAAATCATGGGCCTGGTGTTTTTCTCTGAGTCATAAACAACAAGTTGGGTGTTGTTGTTTTTGTTGTGACTCGGTTGCGAAATCTGCTCTGCTCAAAGTGAATAATGTTTCGTGGTTTAATACGGCAATCCCACTAGTTGGCAACAAGTTGGCAACTTGAAACGCCACACGAAAAGGTGCCCTCCAACAAGGGGCCAGATCCCAGCGGGTCACGACAGGTGTCTCCTTTTTGAGTGCACCACTTGCTGGTTTTGAAGGGGTTCCCCAAAAGCAAAGCCCCATGTTTGGGGTTCCCCTGAAAAAGCGGATGTGGATAGTTTTTAGTGGGAAAACCAGGAGGTCCCCCCAAAAACAACACGCAACCATACCCCACCAACCGATTTCTTCTCCACCAGAACCGCTTCGGTCCCAACCGGACTTCGCTTCGGCAAACCGCCTCGCCTTCCTGCCGGACGCCGCATGCGCCAAGCGCCGCGCCTCGGCGCACCATTGGCGCACAGCCCGAGTCAAGAGGTCTGGCCTTTTAAATACGGGAACCCCTCAACATGGTGGTTCTCCTTATGGTTCCCTTAAAAAACAAACACTTTAAAGGGGTCTGAGTTTCTTTGGTTAAAACCACACAAAACTCACTTCCTGGATGGGACTGCTTGGCAAGGCCACCTTTAGTGGTCTTTCCAATCAGTGACTAAAGCCCGGGCGTCCCCTGGGAAAAATGAACGAAACATATGTCCAGAAGTTGGTCAGAGTCCCTTGAAAACCTCAGTTGTTCAGTGACCCTGGAAAAAAAAGGGAACCCTTTTTGGGGCTTGGACCATTCTAGTGGGGCAGCCACCCAAAAAAAAGGGGAAAAATAATTGGGCCACTGAACAACTGAGAAAACCATCCTGAGTAACACTACAACGGCGCAGTCCGCTAAGGTAACCTCAGCCGCAAGCGGCTCCTTATGGAGTCCAATCCCCTTCCCCTGCACAGCGACCCGCGGCGAGTCAGGAACAAGTACTCCTCGTGTCTGCTTCCGTTGCTTCCACAGAACTTCTCGGGCCATGCCCCCAGAACTTGGTACTGAAAGTGCTCGAAAAGCTTCAGGGGCATAGTTGCCAGCGCGCAGAGCGCGGGCGGGTCCCAAGCTTGTCTGCCCAAACGTAGAAAAAAACCCGGTCGATGCCAGTCTTCCTGACGTGAGGTGAGGTTTAGGTGGGCCAAAGTCCAACCCCCTGAAAGCTGACTTTTTCCCGTTATGAGCGTCAGGTTCTGAACCCCGTTGTAGTCTTCACTTTGAAGCAAAACCAGCGATTCCCCTGAGTTCTGCTTCCCGCGTAAAACACCCGCAAGGTCTGGACTGTACGCCAAATGACAGACGACTTTGACATGCAAGATCGTGTGCCAATGGATAGTTTGGCATCCTGTCCAATAATTTCTCATCACAAAGCTTTCAACTTTCATCGCAAGCAATGGACCAACATGTATTCAGCATTCTCCTGCCCATCTCTGAAACAGTGTTGGCAAGCATTTGATGAGCTTATTTTGAATGGGCTGTCGTCCACTTTGCGGTCACTGGGAAAACAGGTGCTAAGACTTTTTTGGTGACTTCAAAGGGACCCCCCCAAAAAGACAAAACCACAAAAGCAGCACAGCGCCAAACATCCTCCATTCGCGGGTTCGTCTCCTGGAAAAGACAAACCATATTTCCAGCAGTCATTTTGTTCCTTCGAAACCAACAGGCGAAATCAACGAAGCCAAAAGTGACAAGTCCCCACGACCAGGGACACCCCCACTCAGTTGTTCACTGACCCTGGGAAAAAAGGGAACCCTTTTTTGGGGCTTGGACCGTTTTAGTGAGCAGCCACCCAAAAAAAAGGGGAAAAAGGGCCTGCGGGAAAAGTTCATGGTTTCGGTGAAGTAGGGCTGAAGAGGCCATTCGATTCGGGTCTTCAGCTGTTGCCAGAGCTGCCGCTGCACCTAGGTGGTCTTTTCGCGCCCCTTTTGGGCGTGGAGACAAAGCCCACGATTTGCTACCTGGCCACTTGCCTTGTAAGCCCCCTAAGTGGACTTTAACTAAAATCATCCTGCACCTGGAAGCAGTGCTGGGCGAGTTAACCCCTTCCACATGCTTCCTTCTTTGGGCTTAGGCCTTGTTCCATGTGTTACACATTAGGGACCAGGGTCTAGATGTGGTTTTTCGTGCCCAAGCCTAAGGGGAGGGTCGCATGAGATCCGCTCAGCTTGGCAAAGCACCTGCAGTGCCACGTTCAGCATGGGCAGTGCCAGCACCTGGCGTGAATTGTTGAATTAACAAGGGGCTGGCTTAAGGCTCGCTTCCTGAGTGACCTGGTCCAAAACAAAGTTTGAACTCTTGATTTACCACATGATCCAAGCCCAAAACGTGACTAAAGTCCACAACTCAGGGAGTGAGAAGAACTAGGGGTTATGCAGGTTCTCACTTCCTAAGTGGAAATGCCAAAAGGACCTCTTGCTTACCACCTAAAATTGTCTTCCATGTCTTCCCAAAAAATGACCAGGTCCTGCAGATTTGAGGTTAGAATCAGGGTTCCCCAACTTTTTGCTGTAGTCGATTTTAGTAGGGGAAGCCTCCCCCCAAAAAAGACACGGTAAAAGTCTGCACCAATTGCTGGTTGGGACCTAGGTGAAAGTCCAAAAACCCGGGATGCGACGAGTTCTTTGCTTCGATCTAGGTGCAATTTCGGGGATTCCATGTCTGGAGCCATAGCCAAACACCTGCGAGCGATTGAACAAAGATTCAACCCATCCATTCTACTTGTGCGAAACGAACAAACAAATACAGTTGCCAGTGGTCAGCATACCTTCAGGGGCTCTTAAACTTATTCAGCTGATTAAACATTACCCAAGAAACTCGCCGCCGAAAACAAACGACAAACAAAATCAAACATTAAACGTCCCGTCATTTTAGTCTGGTGGAAGCGCAATGTTGAAATTCGACGATCTTGGACCGAAGGGCCTCCGGGTGCGAAGACCTCCAGGTGTCCATAGGAAGCAAGGCCCCGCTTTTCGCACTTCGCTTATTTCGGGAAACTCCGCTCGGGAAATCCCGTGCACGACTGGAGGTCGTGTTTTGCTTTCTCCTTTTTTCTTCTTGGGGTCTGGAGTAAGGAGACTGTTACTTTCTGAGTGGATTGCCCAAAATCAAGTCCAAACTGTCTATTTACCGGTAAAGTGGTGTTCCCAAAACGTTCCCAAAGTCCAGGAACTCAGGGAGTGAGGAAACTAACACCACTTTTTTCTCATGAACTTGAGCGGGTTGATGCTCCCATGTCCATCCCATTTTTGAAAGGTTGATGTTGATCGTTCCCAACTATGTTGTGCTTTGGAGGTGTCCATACGGAACCCACACAGGGTCTCTTTTTCGGGGGGGGGGACCAACAAAATGGGTGGTGTTGCTTTTGGTGTTCCTGTAAAACCACCAAAAACAGGGTACCCTCAAAAAGCAGACACACCCACATCACTCTACCTGAATCAAGGTCCAACTATGCGGTTTTTACAATGGAAAATACGCAACATAATAAGCCCCCTGGCTTTTGTGAAGAATTTCATCATTTCTCCGGTCCTTCCCAGACAAAGCCTTCTGCTCTTCGGGATTATACTCTGGGCCCTCAGATCCCCCGCTAAAAGCGGACAACTTCTAGTGGGTTAAATGGAAACCACTAAAAAATAAAAGGCTGAAAAGCTCAGGAACCGGATGGCTGGCTTCGTCACCAAGTACTGTGGATGGACAACACCCACTTCGCAAACTTGTCATGGCAGTCCAGTCTGGGAATGTGAGATTTCTCCAACAAGCACCAGAAGGTTCGAACGGAGAAATCCACAGCTTACCATGGTGATGCGACAAAAAGGAGGTCCTCTGAAAGGGACCGTTTAGGCCCCCTGATTTCTCGAAGTCAGCCCGAAGTGGTAGGTTGCAGGGAAACTCACTTCGGGCTGACTTGCTTTGATGACCACTTTGACAACTACAGAACCTCGCAGGGAAACTCGCTTTGCGACATACTTATCATCACAGAGACTCACTTTCAGAAAACGCAAGAAACGGTCCAAACGGACCCAAGCGTGACCCCAACTACCAACAAGCCTTGGGGCCTTGGGGAGGGCGGGCAACCCGAAATTACGAAGAAAGCAGCTCGAGAGAACTGGGTTCTCCCGGCCATCCGGAGAGTTCAGCAAATCTCACACCTCACGAGAGGTCCAGGTAGCCTCCCATGGAACCTCACTGGGTCGACCATTTTTGTTGGAAAGGGCTCATTTGGCTGTGGCTCAAAAAAATGGAATCCCCAAAAGTCGCACCTTGGTAGACGGAAACGAAGACTAAGACCTGTGTAAGCCTAGTTCTTGATTTGTGAGCCGCCATTTCTCGTCGGGTTCCATGAAAACGACGGGGTCATTCTCCACTTCTGCCCCGCCCAAGCTTAGAAAATCGCCTCTGTGAAGTTGCAGAACTGGAGGAATCTGGCGAAGAGCAGGACCTAGCGGCCGACCCGTCAAAGGTGATCACCCGCCATTTGCGTTTTCGTCGCCCCCTGAACAAAAAGATAAAACAAGTCCTAGTGAAATCGATTCCCTTCAAAACCAACAGCGTTTTTCTTTTCTTTTTTGTCCCCTTTTGTTTACAACATTATTAAGCAAATCGAAGTCACCGTTTGGGACCTTTACTTAAAAGTGGGCCATAGGTCAAAAGCTCGATTCGCTTTGGGCAAGTCCGGGGCCTGGTATTTGCTCTGAGTCATGATAAACTATATACCATTTGTTTTACTTATACCTTCTAATACAAGCTATTCCTTTCAGCAAATGGCTGCGGGTCCATATCCCGGTGGTGTCATTTTGACCACCCATAGCCAAGTGAGTACAACCACTGCAAGGGCGAATATGGGTTGACTCTGGGGGGTGATTCCAATTCCATTCTTTTCAACCATCGTTCTTTTCAAGAACCGATTGCGGTTTCCCTGGGTGTTTGATGGTTTCCTGAAAAGATTTGGATCCAAAGAAGGGAATTGGAAGGTAGCCCTCGAGCTCTACCCCAATTCCACCCCAACTCCAACTCCAGCACCACCGCACAACTCATGCTGAGGACTGTCAGGTTCCTCTCTTGGAATCCGTGGAATAAAATAACATGTGTGGAAGGTAGGCCTAGATTGACCCCCAGGTATCGCGAGCCAAACTTCAGCCACCACTTGCAAACCCCGCCTTCAGCGGCATGGGCGCTAGCTGGCCGTTCCGGTCCAGGGTGCGGATGCAGCTCAGAATGCTCACCACCCGTTCCTCTTCGGGAATCCAGGGGTGTTTTGTACATACCCCCCTTTTGAAAAGCCTTTTTTTAACGGTCAAATGGGTGTGGCTCAAAATTAAGCAGGAGGGGTTGCGCAGGTTTTGGTCCATGCTTCCACCTACCGGGGTTCCATTTTGGTACCGTTTTTCTGAGCCACAGCCCCTTTAATTTTACATGCCCCTTTTTTAACAGAACAGGACACCCTGAGCTACACAGTATGTTCTTTCCAACCAAATTTCTTTACAACTCAGCTGACATTTAATAGTTCAACTCGAGTTTCCACTCAAAAAGTGACAAAAAAAGCGCACGCTCACAACGTCCCGCTCTCTTTTGTTAACGGGCAAATGAGTCAGAATCAAAACCGAACAGTATTGAAATGGTTGATCCCCAGACCCGTGTAAAGAATTACAAAAGGCGGATATCCGCTCTCATTTATGGTTAGGCCTATCCCTTACTAACTGGGTTTTGATTGTGGCTAAAATGAACAGGCCTGCTGATGTTCATACCCTTCTCGCCAAAAGGGGGAGATACCTCTTATCAAGTGGGTTGGGTACGTATGAACAAGGTGCATGCACTTCCACCAGACCGAAGGAGTATCCTTGCCCTGCGAGGTGTTTCTTGGGGATCCCTTGGATGGGCTGGGAGCATAGGGGACCATTTGGGAAAGCACACAAGGATGGGTTTTTCTTGGTAGATGAATGGTCTAGAACCAATCATCTCTACTCTTGGTATGGTAGCGAAAAACTGACTGTTTTTTGCAGACTCGTAAAAATGAACAGAACCAAAAACCAAGACAAACACAAAAAACATGATCCAAGAACCGTGAAGCAATGTATACTAGGTCGAGCCCATCGATTTCTTTTCATTTTTCACCGATCAACAATTGGACCGAGGAGGCCTAACTCTGGGGTACCATAAGCCAATGGACTGATAAGATTGCCATAGAGGAACCAGTATCTTACCCCTTAAAACTCCCTGCGCCCTGGGGAAGTTGTCATCGTTTACAGACATATAGCCCATGTTACCCAAAAAGTTGAGAAAAGTGGTGTTTTTAAGAGGTAAGGTATAGGGAAACCACCCAAACAGATGAAAAAAACAAATATATATGGGAAAGGTTACCGGGTCATTTTGGGGCTAGGAGTATTGATTACCTTTTTTGCTTTGCATGTAGGTTTAATATACGTATATCTAGATATATAAAGGGTTCTTATTTCTGACAAGACCCATGCAGAAGTAGCACCTAGAGGAAAAACAGGAAGAACACAAAAGCAACATCTTGCATTCCGTACTTGAACTCGAAGACCCGGGTGCGAATGCCCCGTCCACTCCCGTGATAAGATCTGACAGCCCCCAGCAAACGAGGATGCGTCAATATGGGGGGGAGACCTTAAACGTGGCAGTTGTCCTTTAGTTCCCGCTGCAAAGCACCAAACAAATGGGTTTCTGTTTTCGATTCTGGCTTCCGTTTTCAAAGGGACACCAACAGGAAAGCCGAAATCCATGTTGAAGGGCTCATAGCAGTCGTCTGAAGAAACGGAGGGGCCCTTGGTTTGAAAAGGTGAAAAACTTAGTGACGATCTGGTGGATTCCATCAGCCCAAATGGTTTACCGCGCAAAGGGGGCAAAGGTAGCAGCAAAGAGCAAAGGGTACCACCTCAAAGCCTTCCGGGGGGCAAAGAACTTGAAGTTGGAGGGTTGTCGTTTTGCAGCCGGAAGGCAACCCAGAAGAAAAAAACAATACCCGTGAAGACAAACACACGAGCAACACTACACAGAAAAAAAAACAAGGCCGTCGTGAACATGATTGGCCGCACTCCAGTGCTCGGCAGCCAGCTCGAAAGATCGGGGACAGGGTGGAATCCCCCACCCACTTTATCCCCAAGGGTCCAAGTACCGTCTAATATTTCGAAACCCATCCTCGGAGGGTTCTTACTTGGACGGAATAGATGGGTTTGCCTCATTTTTCGAGGGCCCACAAAACGGATGGTGTCCTCGCGGTTTCCCTTTGCAACCAACCCCAAACGGGTACAGAGCCTCAAACAAAGACCTCAATTTGCGTAAGTCCTCTAGACAGAATGAATATGTCCAGTGATAGATTCCCTTCAAAAGCCAACAGGGGGAAGAAAACAAAGCAACTTTGAGGTTGGAAACCCCAATCTGCGAGGTTGTTGCGAGTCTCTAAGTGCAGGAAATACATTCTCAAGCAAATGCAAGAAGACTTGCTGGTTCTCAGCAGGGAATGAACAATGGAATGATCCCTATATCCCCAAGAAGGTTTCCTCTATTCGGGACTCCAACCAAAACCGGTTCATTCCACCAACACCCGGTCTTGTTAAGTCATTCCCTATCGCACCAAGAAGACACCCAAAGAGAAAAAACGCCTGTCGAAGCTCCGATTTCAAGAGCGTCCTGCGCGCCGGTCACCGTGCCGCGCCTAAGACACGCGTCGCGCACCAGGAAACCATATAGAAACCAGGTCCAAACGAGATGGGCCAAACAAATTAGCCAAACCTGCTGTTTACACGATCGAAATGGTCGGATCACGATCGCACGGACCTACCAGCACAACTGTATCTCATGCCGCAAAAGTTGCATGGCCAAGGCGAAACTGAATAATTGGTACAGACTTTTTTGGTGGCTGCAGAGTTTTGGACAAACAAACAAGCGGGGATGCGGAGGGAGCGGGGCCATTTCCCATCTCAAACAAAGTCAAGGTGCATCAAACGGGAGAAGCCTCCCATATCCCTGGTTCCTACTGAATCTCTGCCAGTTGTTTTTCCCTGAGAGTTTGTGTTCCAAAAAACAAAAAACACATTTCCCTGAGAGTTTGTGTCCCAAAAACAAAACAAACACATTTCCCTGAGAGTTTGTGTCCCCCCCCCAAAAAAAAACACAGTTCCCTGAGAGTGTGTGTTCCAAAAACAAAACAAACACATTTCCCCGAGAGTTTGTGTCCCAAAAAAACAAACAGCACATTTCCCTGAGAGTTTGCGTCCCCCCCCAAAAAAAAAAGCACATTTCCCTGAGAGTCTGTGTCCCAAAAAAAACAAAAAGCACATTTGTGTCCAAAAGAAAACAAAAAGCACATTTCCCCGAGAGTTTGTGTCCCCCACAAAAAAAACACATTTCCCTGAGAGTTTGTGTCCAGAAGAATACAAACAGCACATTTCCCTGAGAGTTTGTGTCCAGAAGAATACAAACAGCACATTTCCCCGAGAGTTTGTGTCCCAAAAAAAAACCAACAGCACATTTCCCTGAGAGTTTGCGTCCCCCCCAAAAAAAAAAGCACATTTCCCTGAGAGTTTGTGTCCAAAAGAAAACAAAAAGCACATTTCCCCGAGAGTTTGTGTCCCCCACAAAAAAAAAGCACATGTCCCTGAGAGTTTGTGTCCCCAGGAAAAAGCAAAAAGCACATTTCCCTGAGAGTTTGTGTCCAAAAGAAAACAAAAAGCACATTTCCCCGAGAGTTTGTGTCCCCCACAAAAAAAAAGCACATGTCCCTGAGAGTTTGTGTCCCCAGGAAAAAGCAAAAAGCACATTTCCCTGAGAGTTTGTGTCCAAAAGAAAACAAAAAGCACATTTCCCCGAGAGTTTGTGTCCCCCACAAAAAAAAAGCACATGTCCCTGAGAGTTTGTGTCCCCAGGAAAAAGCAAAAAGCACATTTCCCTGAGAGTTTGTGTCCCAAAAAAAACAAAAAGCACATTTCCCTAAGAGTTTGTGTCCAAAAGAAAACAAAAAGCACATTTCCCCGAGAGTGTGTGTCCCAAAAAAACAAACAGCACATTTCCCTGAGAGTTTGTGTCCCCAAAAAAAAACAAAAAGCACATGTCCCTGAGAGTTTGTGTCCCCAAAAAAACCAACAGCACATTTGTCCCTGAGAGTTTGTGTCCCCAAAATCAACACAAAAAAGCACATTTCCCTGAGAGTTTGTGTCCCAAAAAAAAACAAAAAGCACATTTCCCTGAGAGTTTGTGTCCCAAAAAAAATAAAAATCCCCAAACCCAAGACGCGGCATCGGCAAAAAAAATATCCTCACCATGGGCCGAGTGCCAGGCTGCTCCAAGTAGTGCTCCACCATGAAGGCCGCCAAGTCTGCTCGAGGCATATTGGCCTTCAGCTCAAAAATGCTGAGGAAAAAACTTGTGATCCGTAGCACTTCCTGAGTGGAAATGGCAAAAAAACAAATCCAAGTGAACCACTTCCTGAGTGGAAATGGCCAAAAACAAAGTGTTTTATCTCAAACTTTCGGTTTACCAACGGGTCCAACTTGCTGTGAACCATCCAACCTATGGCTGCCTAATGTTTAATCTAAACTTTCGGTTTACCATCAACGGGTCCAATCCCAAAAAGTGGCGAAAGTCCGAAACGAGACTCAGGAAGTAAGATATTCAACAAATGTCGGAGGTTGAATCGCCGAACCTTGAAAAGGGAAGCTTTCTGGGAATTACCCGTAGTTCAAATCCGCTTGGAAGCACGGGCGGCGGCCCCGATTGCCTTCAAGTGGCATCTCGAATCGTTCTGGGCAGGCTAAAAGCAGAAAACCAGAAATCTTCAAGGGAGTGCGGACCTAAAAGCGCAAACGTCGATTTGCAAGGCAGCTGAGGCGGTGCATATTATATAATATTTGTGCGGGCTTTGCTTGCTTCATTGAAGTTTCTGTTGCCTGTTCTTCTGTTTGCCTCATGGCAGTTGCTGTTTGTCGATTCATTGGTTGAGATCTGGATCGGTTGCTTCGTTTGTCCGCGCCATTGTGTCTTCAAGATTGGGTTCAAGGACGAAGTGCCATTTGGCGCCACCAACAAAACAAATCGTCGCACAAAAACAAGACCAGGTTGGATCTTTTCCAAGCGCATTTCTCCATCGCCTTTGACCATTCAGACTGCGCATAAATATGCATATCAATGTGGGGACCATCGTTTTTTGATGATGGTCGAAGTACCCAACTCCATCTAGACATTATGTTAACCCACTTAGGAGACTGATAGCCATGGTAATGCCCCGAAATCCTCACTTACCTTACCCGGTCGCCCCCGGCAGCATGCAAGTAGATGGGACAACTTCCCGTTGCGCGAACAACACCATGGTTGAGTTCTGCTTGGCCGCCCAAAGGTCTGGTTGGAAAAGGCTAAACCCGGTACAGGGATCCTTACATGAGAAACACCTGAACATTGCCACTTGTAAATGGTGTGGTTTCCCTTGATTTTGGTGTTGAAAAAGAACCATGTTTCAAATGGTTGCAAAATGTATCTTTTAAGGAGCCCTGCGGTAAAGCAACTCCATTTGGGTGTGTCTGTGTACCCCTTGTTTGTTGCTTTAAAGGGACACCTGAAGAGGAGAACCACGATTTGGGGGGGTTCAACCTTATAAAAGAGACCCCTAACTAGGTTCCGCGTGGACACCTTAGAGCACAAAGCCTCTGGGACAGACCATCAACATCAACCTGCTGTCAAACATGGGGAGGACATGGGAGGATCAGCCTGCACAATTTCACACCCATTTCGACGGTTTACCAACCATATTCTTTCCGCAACGCATTCCAACTACCTGGAGTCTCCTTCTGACCCTTTAAAAAATGATTGGTCATTACCCAACATAAACTGGGCTGCCCTCACTTAAATAGAACTACCACTAAACACGGATCTAAAAAGCGAAGGAACCGGATGGTTGGCTTCGCCACCAAGTAAACGGGTCATCCCCCACCCCCCCACCCCCCAACAAAACACAATCACAAAACACACAAAAAAGGAGTTTGTCTGTGGTCCAACTACCTGGAGTCTCCTTCTGACCCCTTAAAAAAAGGTTGTTCATTACCCATAAAAGGGTCATGGACCCATCTTTGTCAGCAGGAGACTCCAACTACTTTCCAGCTGGCTCATCGACCCAACATAAAAGGGTCATGGACACATTTTTTCAAGGGTCAATAGGAGACCCCTAGGATCAACAGGCCACCAAGTAGGGTCATGGACCCCATGTTTGGGTCAAACGGAGACTCCAACTAACTACTTTCCAGCTCAAAAATGGTTGGTCACGACCCATCAACGGGTCATGGACCCATCCTCTAACGGTCAAAATGAGACTCCGACGACTTTCCACCTGGCGCCTCGCTCCTCGGATCGCCTCGGATCGGATCGGATCTGCTCGCTGGGCATCCCGGGCCGCGTCCGCCTCGCTGTCCGCGGAGATCTTCGCGGTGTAGAGGCGGTCCACCTCCGACTCCAGCTCCTGAACCACGTGGCGTTGATGTCAGAGGGTCCACCTCTGGCGGTAAAAGTGAGGGATCAATCTATTGGCCGCACCTTTAGCCTCTGTGGTACTGGTAGTCAGGCGGGTTAAAGAAGGCCTCTGGAGTGTCCATGACCCTTGCAACATGGGTCCATGACCCCTTTATTCAACTGACCCCATGATTTGCGGGTAAGACTCCAAATATTCACTTCATCAAATGGCCATGGGTCAAAATCCAAATCGTACCCCAGTGAACATCCCAATCCCCCACTAAATTAGGTTCGAAAATGGGTGGTGCACCTGCCCAAATGGTACCATTGGTTTTGACCCACGGCCATGTGAAGAAGTGGATTAACACCTACCCACACAGGCGGGCAGTTTGAAGAAGGGGATTACCACCTACCAGGCGGGCAGTTGGCACACTGGATGTTGAGCCTCTAGAGTCTTTTGCCCAGTTCTTCAAAGCCAACAAATTTCCAGGTCTGTCAACAGGGGCCCGGCTCTTCAAAAGGCTCTGCACCAGGCGGCACACAGGTCCCGCAAAAGCGGCCCAGACGTTCACGAGCCGTTCCCGCGGCCCCCGTCGCTGTTTGCTAAGCTCCAGCCTGGGGTCTGGTGACTCACTTCAAAGGACGAGCGGACTGGCCAAGCAAGACCAAACCAAACGTGTTGTTTACTTTCCAAAAAAAAAAAACGAAAAAAAGTTCAGAACTTTCCACAAAAAAAAGAAGAAGTTCAGAACCTCGGGGGACCTTTGGAAACCACGTGGAAACCCCCACTGAGAAGGGGCCAATGGGAATCGGTGTTCGGACGCTGCTCGAATGTCGTCCTGAGGCTTGATCCTTTTTGAAGGCCAAAACCCGATCGATCTTTGTGCGACTCTCATGATGCCCTGCTTTGGTTCCAGGTGAATTGGCAGGGGAGCGCTTCTGGATTTCAATGCGTTTTTGTTTGCGGTTTGCTCGTGCGCAACCAACTTCCGAGCTTCTTGTTCTGGAGCTGCTGATCATGCGACCTTACCGTGGACAGGTTGCTCACATCTACAACTACAATGGCAGGTTTCAATGGGTGCTCCAGGGGGGGGGGCAAAACGGCAAACCGCTGCGCCTTCACAGTCATCTTTGGCACGTCCCGGCCTTGCAACGAAAAGCTGACGGAGCCATGAAAGGTACAAAATGAATGGCTCACCGCGGCCAAACAAATCAAATGACCTTTGCCACAAGTGTCTTCACAAAAAACATAGGTGTCTCAAAATCGGGTTTCCACCCCTGTTGGGTTCGCTTTTAATTGACCCACGAGAAAAGCATTTTTTTGTGGGTCCCCTAATGTGAGAAAAACCAAGTCCGTCCGGAAGTTGGGAGGTTACGCAATTTGGATGCGGTGAACTCCAGATCTTTGCTGGTAGGCAATTGAAAAAAGGATCCCCCGGATTTCGCCTCACATCATGCCAAACATCAGCTCATGAAAGAGCAAGGCCAAAGAAATGCTTAAAACAAACAAGGGGCCAGGTAGAGAACCCTGATCAAAGGTCGCGACCAGTGCTTTGAACAATGTACCAGCGACATGCACGAGCACAGTGGTCTTGTCCTTGAAACTTCCGCTTAAGTGAGTTGACCATCCTATTCGTAGCTCCGAACACGTGTTTTGACCATAGCACACGTGATTCCAAAAGCGAGAGCCTAACGTATAGCCTTCACCCGTCTCTTGCGGATGGATGGGGCATCAGTCTGGACCCATGCAAAGGTGTTAGCTGGCGGCAAACGAAATGTTGGGTGACCAATTGAATGGGCTCCTCACTTCCTGAGTGGATTGGCAAGAAAAAGTCCAAACTTTTTGCTTGCCACTAACATGGGTCCAAACTTCAAAGTTTTCAGTCCAGGAACTCAGGAAGCGAGCTTCTAACAACCGGATTCCGAACTCGGATGCGCAAAAACATATGTTTGTGCGCAATCGATCGGACACTCTTGGGTTGCCCCGACCAAACAACCCAAACTTGGTATTCTTCAGGAATCTACCCAAAAAACAAGATGACTAGCGTCGCTTGCCATGCATGCCTAAGGCATTCTCCTTCTTTCCCCCTCCCCCCAATAAATCGCTGCGTCGAACAGACACTGTGCGCTATCGCAAAGGCAAAAAAGATGACTAGCACGGCACCTGTTGGGACCCTCCCCTTCATCTCGGGTTTGGATTGCGCAAGGCCCACGCAAGAAGGAACCTTCTCGGCCCCCGGGGTGACTTCTCCAAAAGCTTTGGAGGAACCGAACCTCGTGGGGAACCGGATAGGTTTCTGTGAACCTCGGGGCCGGGTATAGGAGGGCTCGCACGGTCTCCCCTAAAACATCATGCAAGAAAATACCCGCGTATGCAAACACCTGTTTTTGTTCAATTTGTCCGCCCCCCAAAAACGTCACTACGGGTGTCGGGCTGAGTTTCTTGTATGCCTGCATTCGAAATGATGAGCGTTTTGAGTCATCTTCGGGGTCTACGGCTTTGTGGCTGGGAAAAACGCACATACGCCCAACTATGCAAAGTAACTAAGAAATATTGGTTTTGGCATACCCCGGTGTGTATATATATATATATACACCAGCCAAAACCAGTTGCGTTTAGAACTAAGTGCGATGATAAACAACATTGCCTGATGCGAATGACATCCAAAGGGCAATACTGTCAAGCAGCCCTTGCTCCGGAGTTGATGGCTGTCTGAAAACATCTAAGGGAAATTTCCCAACCCTCTACAAGAACCAGGGGCCAAACTCCCGAAACCACCATTTCAGGGTCACCTGATTTCACCGGCTTAGCCTCCGGCTTTGACCAGAAACTGGAGAAAAACACATCAAACTCCCTTTGGAGGCGTCTCCCGGCTGGCCGTTTTCAACCCGTTGGTACTGCCAATGAAAACCCCACATGAACGCAGCTGCCATGAACCCAAAACTCAGTTCGGTAATACGCAAATCCATCTGGTTTGCAACTATTTTCAGATGCATGCGATAAAACAAACATGGCTCACTGAATTTTTACTAAAGTCGATCAAATTGCTGGTGTCCACTTAAGGCTCACCCACGGCATTTGAGACTTCCCCCAAAAGCAATCAGGACTTTGCATCCAGCTTTTTACAACAGCGCAGCCAAAGGGCTCAGGGGGGGGTTGGCATGGTTACCTCGGACTCGGAGAGTCAGAGCCGGAGTCGGAGTGGGAGCAGAAACAGTGGCAGCAGCAGCAGCAGCAGCAACTCGGAGGCTGTATCTCAGCTACATGGTAACCCTAAGCCTACCCAATGCCAAGTAGTTGCACAAAATGTATTGGAAGTTTCGCCTGCAAATTGAGGACAACTCCTCATCGAGCTCTAGGAGCATCAGACATTCTGGGGACTCTGGAGGCCTGCAAGCTATCATGTTTGATGGAGTTGCTAATTGCTTCATGCAGAGTCTTTCATTTTCAGGTGAGGATGGGTCAACAACTTCGGATGCATCATCTGATGGTGGGCAACAAGATTATGGGGCCCGCAACCTGCAGAACGCCCTCAGGTTGCTGCTCCTTGTGCAAAAATACTTGGCACCCTGACTCTTTTTTTCATGTTTGTGCCTGGTCCAGTGAAAACACACCCCCGCCCAGGACCATGAATCATGCTCCAGCGCCGACTTTGACTAAGCGGCAGATCGGGCATGTCAGCGGCTGGGGCTCGGACACTGGGCTTGTTAATTAGCGTGCATTGCATTGCGTGTCTTTGGCTGCTTGAAAGTGCTTCTGTGCATCAAGGAGATGATCCGCAGGGCCGGCCCCTTTGCTTCATTTCAGCATGCTGAAAACATGATTTGTTGTGCTTGTCGCATTGCATCTTCAGTGTTCCAAGGCATGCAGCGCTTTTTGGAAGCTGTCACTGTGACGTGGTTGCTGATGAGCGATTGCAACTGGGCAGCAACATGTGCATGATCTGTGTTTCGATGCCTCACTGAGCAGCGGGTTGGACACTCAACTACTTGAATGTTAGCTCAGGGCCAATCAAACTCTACAGTGGGGCAACGTAAGGTGAAACACCTACCCACGCCCTTCACAGCTGCAACGCCTTAGCTTTGCCACGCCCAGGCGCAGGAGCGGAGGCGCCCTTTTGGGCTTTGAAGGAGCTTGTGCCCGACCAAGCGGCTGGGGTCTTAACATCACATGTTGCACAAACATACTGGAGCTAAACAAACATACATGGCAATTGAGGTCATCCTGACTGCCTCGACGGACCATGCACTGGGCCCGTTGAAGTTCATCCTGAAGAACTGCAGGCCCCGCAAGAAGTTTGGCTGCACCCTAAGAGTAAACCTAGTTTTAGGTTGGCTTCATGTCACATCTCTTGCCTGCTAAGGATCTTCAGCTCGATGGCTGGCCGGGATTTGTCGGAGGTGGCTGACACGATCATCTACAGCGCGGGCTTTCCTTGCACGCCGACCCTTGGCCTATCTTAGCTTTAAATCGTCGCATCTTGTCCTGGCATGATTTCCTGCTTCCCCATGCTGTGTTCATCAAAGGTTCAGCACGCTGAGAGCTTCGAGCGACTTCCTCCAGGAGGAAGCCGCGAAGTGCTTCTTCGAGGTGCTCACGGCCATGGCCAGGAGATTGATTTGATTTGATTTGTTTTTGCATGCCTGGTTTGTTTGGTTGCACAGCCAGCACCCTGCAGGATTCGCCCCTTGATCAGCATCCTGGAGAACGTTTGCGGGCTCTTGCGGGTGTGGGATCAGGCGGGCATTTCCACACATGCTCAACCCTTGGATGAACCCTTCATAAACTTCTGCCAGGTTTGGGAGGCGATGAGCAAGCTCCGGGAGGTGTACTGGATCGGGTACGTGCCCATCAATGCGAAGGAGCTTGGAGACCCGTCCTCGCGAAGGAGGATCTACATCGTGCTGGTGAGGAAGTGCCTTGCTCCAACTTAGACTTGTCATATCATGAAGTGTTCCAAATTCAAACTGAACGGTTCTGAATCTCAGGGATGTGGCGGAGAAGGACATCGTGAGCCATGAGGCGCTGCAGCAGAAGATCAGGACCACCTACGGGAACACGAAGGTGGGCCACACGCCGGGCATAGCAGTGTGAGGAACTTAGTGTGAGGAACTTATTGGTTGGGTTTGGCCCTCATGCAAACGTAGCTTTCCACCGTGCCGAGGCCGGAGCTGATGCTGCGGCGGGACAGCCCCTATGTGCAGACCATCATGGAGAAGGTCATGCAGAAGGTGGAGCGGGACAAGCAGAAGCCTCGTCACCAGAGGCAAGAGGATGTGCTGAGGCGGTTTCTTGGCTGGCTTTAGTGGGTGCATTTCTCAACACGGCCAAAGCTTTGTTCCCAACCCCTCATCCAAGGCCGCCGAAGGGCCACAAACCACGGTGGGTCATGAAGCACTGGGCCTTCATGAAGAAAAAGAAGGCCTGCTTTGACTCTTCAAAATTCTTGCTGGGGCTCCCTGCCTGACTCTCTGAGATGGCGCCGGACAACCTGGCCGAGCACCGTGGAGGGCGACGGCATTTTGCCAGCCAGCGCGCTCACCATGTGGGGGCCTTTATTTAGTTTCATGTTTTCTTTGATGTGGATCATGTCCAGGCGCTTGACATCTTCGAGAGCTTGCACTTTCAAGGCACTGTCAATCTGAGCCAGCAGATTGACAGGATGAGCCCCATGGAGGGATTTACACCGTGCGTGACCCCGGGCGGGGATTTGTTCAACATGGTGGAGAACCGGCCGTTCACAGGCTAGGTTCCTTTTTTAGTATGGTTCACATGCATCATCGCTGGGAGGCGCCGACAAGCTGCTGTTCCAGTCCTTCCCGCTGCACAAGCTGAAGGTTCAACACCTATCTGAGAAGGCCTGCCTATCTCATTTCAAATTCACTAAAGCTCACATCTTTCTTAGTTCAAAGTTGCACTGCTGAGAATTGATTGCATCAGGAGATGCACAAGCTTGGGGGCAACGAGCTTTGGTTGCAACTCAATGCCAACTGCTTAGGGCTCAGGGTTGCTCAGAGTTCTCAGCGGTTTGTCCAAGGCGATGAATGTGAAATGTATGGCGGCGGCTTATCTGGCCGCCTTCTCGGCCACCGATGTGCAGAAATTCAATAGGCAGGGCTCCCTTTGTGGAATCAGCAACGGTTTCAATCAACACAAGCGAGCAACTGACAGGTATGGGAGGAAGAAGATTCACGCCGCCGCGTACTGACATGCCCCGGCCTAGCAAAAAAACGGTGCACGAGCGTTTGAACTTGCACTCCTGCCTGTGGCCCAGCGTCGCATTGTGTACTTGCTCATCACCTGTCATGTCTGGAGTGGCTCACGAGATTGGTTACATGTTCATGTATTATGGCATGTGAACTCACACATCAAGACCCATTGTTAGCAATAGACAACATGCGCAAGCCCACAGCAATACATCAATCCAAATGCGGGCCCTGTAGCATAGCAACAAAAGTAGCAAACATGTGTTAAAAAGGCACAACCTCAGAAAACACATTCAATCCTTTTGCTGGAACCAACTTGACGCTTGGAAACATGAAGCGGTTTGATGCACCCCCCTCCAGCTTGTCAAGCAGCAGTTCTGACAGTGACTCTTCAAGCACTAGCTCTTCGTCACCTACGCAC